CCTGGGTCTACCTCCTGGGGCCCCCTCTCCAGATCTAAAGAATGAAAATTTCGGAAAGTACAGCAGTGATGTGTTTATTTGTAAATAGTCCATCCAGTGATTTTAGTGTTCAGTCAGATAGGAAAATATTCTGTAAAGAGTTACACAAAATGACAGGGAGAAATACTGGTGGGATAACAGGTAAGCAATTGAAAGAGTAAGGAAGTATTATGGTTTGGAAAGTGCACTAGGCAAGATGTCTGGATTCACATCTCTGTTCTGGGGAGCGATGTGTTCTTAGGAAATGTCAGATAGCCTAGAGGCGGGCCTGGGTTCTAATCCCTGTTTCTTTCCAAAGCAGCATGTGAATAGTGGCAAAAAGAAGGTTGGGCCAGATGATGTGTAAAGCCCCATAAACTAGCTACAGTTCTGTGGCTATAAAATATGTGAGAATTAGGGGTTGTATAGGCTTCATTTGGTTTGATTAAAAAGAATCAACAAAATTGACCTTAATGAGTACAAATTTACATAGTTTTAAACAAATACAAAATACCAATCCAGAATATAAAATAATTTGTTATAAACCTTTATGGTAATTTTTATTTTTTTTCCTGGAAATAGTTGACTAATTGTTGACTCACTGAGAAGTAGCTACAGAAAAATGACCAGTTATTAAAACTTACTTTTAATACTTCTCTGGCCTTTTCATAGCCCTTTGGACAAGGGTGTTGCATAGATGTTTATGTGTAGAATGTCATATATCCTCAAAATTGTTGAGAAAATTCCCATTTGAGAGCAAAATGTTCATTTGAAAGTTAATTTACTGGAAAAGGTAGTTTGCAGGTCAACAATTTCAACAGGGTTTTGATACACTTTAATAGCATTGTCAAGAACCTAGGTGAAGATGTGGAAAACACAAATGTAAAACTTTTAGCCAAAGCAAAATTGAGAAGGAAACATGTCAGAATATAGGGTTTATGGGGCACCTGGGTGGCTCAGTGGGTTAAAGCTTCTGCCTTCAGCTCAGGTCATGATCTCAGAGTCCTGGGATAGAGCCCCGCATCGGGGTCCCTGTTCAGCGGGAAGCCTGCTTCTCCCTCTCCTTCTCCCCCTACTTGTGTTCCCTCTCTCACTATGTCTCTCTCTGTCAAATAAATAAAATCTTTAAAAAAAAAAAGATTTTATTTTTTTTTATTTGTCAAAGAAAGCGAGAAAGCACAAGAAGGGGGAGGGGCAGGCAGAGTTAGAAGCAGGCTGTCTGCTGAGTGACAAGCCAGCTCACGGCTCCATCCCAGGACCCCGTGATCGTGACCTGAACTGAAGGCGCCCCCCTTGAGTGGGCTGATCCACTCAGGTGTCCCAAGACGTGCATTCTTAATATGACCTACACAATCCAGCAGGCCTCCCCCCTTCTCCAGGTTTATGTTGTAATCACTTTCCATTTCCAATCCAACCACGCTGAGCTACTATTAAATTCTCATATGTACACCATGCTCCCCTTGACTGCATCAGTTCTCATGCTGTTTTTTTCTTCTGTATGGGTGTCTTTCTTATTTTTGAGTGTCTTGTACTCTCACCCTCAAAATCTCAGTTCACTTTTCACTTAATCATGGCAAACTTCCTGACCTTATTTGGCTTTCATTTCCTGTTACACATGCTCATGCTCTGTATTTCTTATTCACAGCATTGATCATTCTAGAATTTACGTTTGATTATGTAGCTATGTGATTCGTGTCTGTTTTCCCTACTAGAATATAAACATCCTAGGAACAGACATTCTCTGTTTTTTGTTCATGATTGAACTCTTGGTGCCTTGGGATATGTGCATATCACAATAAATATGTATTGAGTGAATACTGTAAGTGGAACTTACTATGGAAGCACAGAGGAGAACATTCAGAGAAAGGATGTGATATTGTGACCCCAAGGCAATAAATTATTTTTATATAGTGCCTGCATATTTTGGACTGGTTTTACTTTTCACAAAAGTTCTAAGAACTAGGATTACTGTATCATATATATTATATTAATTTTACAGATAAGAACATTTATCCTTCTTAATTTTACAGAAAAGGACAGTTAACTAGCTTAAGATGAATAGTTATTAAGTCGTAGATTTAAGATAAGAAACCATGTGTTTGAGATTTTAGGAAAATTGCCATTCACTTGTTCTACCCAGATGTTATATTCTTTTATAACTTGCTTCACATGGCATATGTTCTTATGATGTTCTTTGGGACGCATTAGTTCAGTCTTCTCTAACAAAATACTGTAGACGAGGTGGCTAAGAGAACACTTATTTCAGTTTTGGAGGCTAGGAAGTTTAGAATCAAGGCGCCAGCAGATTTGATGTCTGAAGAGAGCCCTTTTCCAGGTTTGCTGTTTCCTGACACGGAGTCTATGGAGAGTTGTGGCCTCTTCCTCTTAAAAGGACACTCATCCTGCAATGGGGGCCCAACTCTCATGGTCTTATCTAAACACAGTTACCTCCCCAAAGCTCCCAAATACTATGACATTAGATTTCTTCCTTTCCCTCCCTCCCTGCCTCCCTTTCTCCCTCCCTTCTTTCCATCCTCCCTCCCTCCCTTCCTTCCTCTTTCTTTTCTTCCTTCCTTTCTTTTTCTTTCCTACTTCCTTCCCTCCTTTCTTTCTTTTCCTTTCTTCCTCCCTCCTTCCCTTTTCCTTCCTTCCTTCCTTCTCCTTTCCTTTCCTTCTCCTTTCCTTTCCCTTCCCTTCCCTTTCCTTTCCTTTCCTTTCCTTTCCTTTCCTTTCCTTTCCTCCTCCTCCTCTTCCTCCTCTCTCTCTCTCTCTTTCTTTCCTTTCTTTTCTTGACATTAGATTTCATATGAACTTGGGGGGGGCAGACATTCAGTCCATAAAAAGGAGTAAGCTATGTTTTATTTGTATATACTCATCTAAAATATATTTGTGGTTTTAAAATTGCACATGGAATTCTCAGTTTATTTATGTTCTAGAGTCCTTGACAGGTAGGATTCTAAACGTGAAAGTAATACTGCCATCTAGTGACAACAGACTTGAATGAAGTTGATAGAGTAGAGTAGCGGTTAAGAGCTCTAGGAATGCTGACATGAATCAGTCACAGAGTGGACCTGGCATAACGTGGGGCGGTCCTTTCTTTTTAGTGAACATTTGAGGTAGCTGATTCTTACAGTGGTCATGCGCTAATAGGGACTAAGTAACACAAATGCTCTTCGCTGTAGGATGTCACGCACATAGTAAGTAGATCACGGGATATCCTATGACTGCACCACTTGACTGGGACCTGTCTCCAAGTTCCTTACTTTCCCCATTGCTTCAGAACGAGGGAGTTTTGTACTCTGATAACCTAATAAAGAGAAATTTTCATCTTAGTTGAGAAACTAAGCATATTCTGGAACAAGCATACATGAGGAAATGAGTCTTTGGTAAGACTTCTGGGTAGATTTTACAACATCGTTAAGGAAGAAGTGGAATGCCAAGATAAACTCCATCTATCCTAAGGGGACACTTAAAGCCACTCTGAATTAGATTGCTATGTGATTTAATGTAAGCACAACAATAAAACACTTCCAGACATGCAATAAATGGTTAGAAAATGAACAATAGGAGAATTTTCTTTAAATCATTGAACTAGAAAAGAAAATTGGGTAATTTATTTGTATCTCTTAAGTCCTACACTTATACGAGAGATTTTTGCTGATACATTTTAAATGAATTATTGTTTAGGTACATTAAAATTGCTGATAAAATTATCATCTAAAATCCCCTGAGCTAAAATTTTCTTATCATGGGCAGATGCCAGATCAAAGAAATAACAATTATTCTATTTCTCTGGAGGCCTAGATAACAAAAACCCATCACTCTGAAATAAATAAATAACTTTGCTGCATAAAGTGAGAATACTATATTTAGTATTTTTTTAGATAGTCTAGAGGGGATTATTTCTATTTGTTTACTTACTAGTATATTCATTGCAATATATCCCTAAGGTTTTCTAACTCATGGAGTAGAAATAGCTTAACTGGAAATATTAATTACTTTTTATATAAGTCAATGAAAATTATTTCTTTCCTGACATGACTTATTACCCCATCTCCCCTTCAGGAGCAATACTTCATGTGCTGACAACTAACATTTTGTAACAGAATTGCTATTTTGCCAGAAGTTAAGCTGGAAATCTCAGGAGCGTGAATAATTTTAAGATAAGAAAAGCATCTGACTTATACATATTTCTTAGTCAATAAAGTACTTTTATGTTTATTTTAGGACAAGAAGACAGATAAGACCCCATCTCTTGTTTTCATGTGATACACTATTTATATGAAGAATGTAGGTAGGAATAGACAATAGCAGATGACAATTTAGCAAGAGTTTGATTTTGAATTAGTTGCCAGAAAGTATAGCCTCCACACTGTGAATTCTGATTCTTTGGAAAAGAAAATATCGCATAATGTGGTTATGATTATCTTTGTATGGGACAGCTCTGATCTGGAGCCCTCCTAGGTTTGGGTTATGGAAGAACACTAGAGGCGTAGCGCTCAAGGTAAAACCTGAAAGATGGGGAGAGTCAGTAAGGTGAAGAGCTGAAAGGCAGGCAGTGGTTTGGAAGGAGGTTGTGTAGTCAGAGTGTTCTAGAGAGAACACAAATGAAAAAGCCTTATTTGAAATTGAAATTGAAAAGAGGATTCAAGGGCACCAGTGTGGGGGTCTGGAGGGCCCTTCCTACCCACGACGGTCTAGTGGGGGGCCCAACAAAAAATTGACTTCATGCCAGAAAAATGTACTCAGGTGTTTATAACACTAGTAGAAATGAGGGGAGACTAAGTTTTATGGCCGTGCAGAGCAGAAAGAGACCTGTTTCTTTTTGGGGTTTTTGGTGAGAGGGAAGAAGACAGTTCAAGATTGTCAAAGAAGTTGGGATTTTGGCATGATCCTTCAAAAAGAAGCAGAGTGAGGTCTGCAGCGAGTCTGTAGTCTGTCTTTGCCTTGACAGTGTTTTGACTCTTGCCTTATTTGTTCAGCTAGGATTGTGTCTAAGCAGAGCCTCCGCATCTGTTCTTAACCTCAACTGCAGCCTTATCCTTTTACCTGTGTGTCGGACGCTCCTGGCTTACCTTCGAGGATCCCAGAAGGTAAGAACGAAAAATCCTGGTCACAGATTCTAGGATCAAAATCAAGTGGAACAGCAGCAAGTTAGTACTACTTAGTTTTCATGGTCTGACCTTCTAATAGACTGACTTCTGGCATCTGCTGTCATCTACCAGATGATTGTAAAGACCGTGTCACCTGTCAAGATGATCAGTGAGCTATTCTGCAATGCTAGATAGAGGCAGTGGGTAATAGAAATGGCTATTAATAGTGTTATCAGACATGGTGCTAAGCACTCCACAGAGGTAAGTGTGAATCCTCACAATGATTCTGTGGGTCTTATAGATGAAGACCTGAGGCACAAAGAGATTAAGGAACTTGACCAATGTCATGAGACTAGCAAAATGGCAGAGTTAAGATCAGTCCCATTTCTGAGATTTTGCCTCAATGAGATCCTGTGTTCTCAATTATTTAAGACCATGTGAGCAACCTAGAAGCTAGAGCTCTGCGCACTTGGAGCAAAATATACAGTGACTACTGGTGTTGGTGGCGATTTATCTCCTTTTCAAACACATGCATGTTTTAAGCTGTGTAATAGTCTCGGAGATGTCTTGGTTAAGATGTGATATCATGTGTGATGTTGTAAAATGAAGTAAAGCACTTTGGAAATTAAAACTCAACAAAATATTTTTTTGTCTTCGGTTGTCCTTGTGTGTGTGTGTTTCTTTTCTCTGTTGAAATAATAAGGCACTGCAGAATTAATACTGATACTCTAAAAGAAGTTGTTTGTATGAGGTCACTTGGATGTTCTGTGTGGTTCATATGAGCAGATTTACTGCAGTAAAACTTCTCAAACTTTTCAGTAATTATATTTAGAAACTCTACTTTTAATGCAGTAATTTGTGGAAATAACTCTTTCTCTAGGTTGCCTACCATTGTAAAATGCTAGGTTCTGATTCCTATGGCTGGCTATTGGCTTGGTGTGAAGAAAGAGAAGATAAATGGCAGGAAAAGTGCCCACCTAAGTTTCTCAGTATTTAAATAAGTCTTAAAGAGTGGTCCCCTGATGTGAAACATAGGAATTCAAAGATGCTTGACATTTTATTTCTTTATAAGATCAAGAAGGCATTTAAACCCATAGATGGAATTGCTTCATTTAAAAATCATCTTAGTTTTTGACTACAGAAGGAAATCATCTATATTGTACAACTCAAACATTCCAGAAATAAGAAAAGTAATCAGTGAAAGTTTCTCCTAATACTGTGTTAAAACAACCACAGATTACGGATTTGGGGAAAAGTCTTCAGATTTGCATAGAATGCCATTAATTTTAAACAACATAGGACTATAGTATAGTTTATGTGTTATCCTTTTACCTAACCATATATATGACACATATTTCCATATAAATAACAAGTCTTCTCACATTCTCTGTAATGGTTTAGGTGTTCCACTGATTAGATATATCATAATTATCTCACCAAGTTTTAATTCCTAGGCCTCTGTCATATTTCTAAGACTTTGATATCATGTACAATGCTATAGAGAAAAACTTTGTACACATATCTTATTCCCTGCTTCATTTTCACCACACTGAATTTTATTTAGGTTCCAAGCAGGAGAACCAGAAGATTGTTGGATAAAAGCCGAACATTCCATATAACCTGTGGTGTGACTATCTGTATTTTTTCAGGTGAGAAAACTAAACGATGTGAAAATACTACCTTTGAACACATGTTATGAATGGCATTTTTGTGGCTCTGCAAATTATTTGCTGTCACCAACTTGTGATTGTCTCATTCCATATCTTAAGTTTCTCTTCCATGTGTTTAAAGAGAGTTGCCTAACGGTGCTACAGAAAATGAGCATGTCTTACACATTATAGATATAGTTTTCACATTACAATATATGAGAGTTGGCCTTCAAGCTGTTAATAATTTTTTTTTATAAGTAAATACTTTCATTTAGAAAGACTAAAAGAAACAAGATAAATGTTTTTAAGGTTTAAAAATAAAGATATGATAGGACTTTAAATGCATACAAATTAGAATGTGAAACATACATTCATAGAATGTGATTCCATTTAGAAGTATATTTGATAAATATTTCTTTGATGTTAATTCTTGGTATTAAATGTCAAATGTTCAGTTCCAAGTTAAAATATCAAGCAAGGGTCTTTTGGCTTTTTAAAAGAGTCATTTTAAAATAAGTTTTTATCCTGAATATTTATGTGATATTTTTCAAATTTTGGAATGGCAGGTGATAAACACATTAATTAAGTATATGGACTTTGGAGACAAGGTTGTGTAGGATCTATCCCCAGCTGCCTTTCTACCTTATTGTGTGACATAAGCATTCTGGTCTTTGATTTGTTGTTGCTTTAATCATAAAATGATTGACAGTATGAGATCGCCCATAGGAAGTTTTTAGGATGGAATTTTTTATAATTTACAAACTCAGGGGTTAATTATCTCAGTGGCATAGCACCTGACATTTTCCTCTAGTCATGATTTGATAGGACAGAGCTGTTTTTACACCAGGGACATTTGGTCTGGATATGTATATATGGCTACTTTGAATCAGGCATATCTTCATGCAGCCACTATTGAGAGGTCATTAAGCTCTCCACTTTTAAAAAGTTACCAAGTATTGTTGAAACAGGCATCTGCACTGTTTTGTCCCTGGACATTTTATTGGTGGGTCCCGCCTCTGGAGGCAAGAGATGGGGAGAGGCTTGGGTGGGATCAGGACTCCATACCACTCAAGAGGCTGGGGACAGAGTAAGAGTCCAAAATGAGATGAGGACCAAGTGTGTGGCCAGGGTCAGGGCTGGGTTAGAACAGAGGGCGTGAAAGGTCAGGAAAGCGGGAGGGTCTGGGAATGTGGACACATTTGTAACTTGGTTTGTGCTACACTGTAGTTGTGTCCAAATATTCTGGTTCAACTGGAGAACAACCAAAAGACTGAGATCGCGTAGCGTCTTGCCATGAATGAACATGCATTCCAGACAGTTTCATTCTGCCACTCACTAGTTGTCTGACCTTAGCTGGTGGCCTCTTCTGACCTTCTGTGACAAAGGGATGTTTCTACCCATTTCATTGTTTTGTTGAGAGAATTAAATCAGAAAATCTACTCAAAATGTCCAGCCTGGCTTTCTCTTTGCTGCCCCAAATTAGAAGCCCCAATTTCTTTTGACCTGAAAGTCCTTTAAAGAAAGTGAATATATCCCTTAAGGGTGTATCTCAAACAACTGATACCTAGGGCTTTTTTTTTTTTTCCCCCCCCAGGAGAATTCAGAAAGAAGGAGCCACAAACATGTAGTTAACATATAAACCTTTGATTTAAAATGAAGGGATTTTTTAAAATTTAAACATTTTAGACATGATAAAGCTAGAGGACACAGATCGTTCTTAAATAATCTTTTATGCCTATGCCATAGTTGCATCCCTCCTGGACTGCCTCTTAAAAATTTCCTTAGAATTGTGTCCTTGCTTGTTAGTTAACCCCCTTCTAACTTCCTGTCCACTTTTTATGAGACCTTTCTCCTTCCTCTAATTTGACTCTGGAAGGAGCTTATCAATCCTTTTATCAAACTTTAACTTTGAAGTTAGTTAGCATTCTAGTCCTTCTCTCACTTCTATTTGTCTTTGTGAGTCCTTCAGAACTCTTGGCATACCTACATCTCATGTGCTAGGTTGGAAAGAACTGTAAAGTTTTCCAGTTTCTACTCACGTTTTCTGTTGAATAACTCCATGCCCTATATTGGTATGGACTATAATGGTTCACTAGCAAAGTTCAGGTCACTTATCTCATTAAGTCTCCTATTTCTGTCATTGTCATTTACAGAGAACTAACCTGACTGTTGGTAGCCATGCAGCAAGAAAACCAGATTTCTAGTTAATTATCTTTCATCCTTTCTAGTACATTGTAATGTACTGTTAATTCAGACCCTATTTCTCCTACAAGAAGAGGTTGGGAAGGGAGAAGGCATTCTCGTCCAATGCACACGTTCATTTGCTCCTTCCTTGTCCAGCCTCCTCAAGATAATTTTCCTTCTTCTTGGCTGTGCCAAAATGAGTTTTTCTTCAACTCTCTTATAATTTCCTAATACTTCCATCCTCTGTGTGAGCTCTGCATTGGTTGAGCTCTCTTTACTCTGCCAGTGTAAGCTGAAGATGAAATGATAATTCTTATTTTCCTGAGTTTTTAATCCCAATGAAGTGATTACCAACACTTTTGCTGTGGGGTTTAGGAAATTTAGGAAATTACTTCTTGAAGTTATGGATTGTGAGAAATTGTAACTGCCTGAAAGTCTTTCAGTGAGCCTCTCTTTTAGGTTGAAGTGTACAAGACCTATAACAGATTAGAGCTAGAGGAGAGGTGAAAAATGTAGAAAACTCAAATATCCAGGAGCTATTTAAATAAATAAATACATCACCATATTATCACACACTGGAACATGTTGTTTCCTAACCTTGACTTGCTAGTTGTTTAATTCTAGCCTTTGAAAATTCAGTTTCTTTACATGATTTCTAATACCCAGGTGTCTGTAATCAAGACTTTTGGTGTCTTTAAACTTTCCCTTTTCAATTTAATATTTTTTTGCTCAGGTAGCTGTCAAAGTTTGGACCCTATGTTAACTTAGGGAGAGGAAGGGAGTCCTCTTCGTGGAGCGTATATGGAAATCCTATTGATCTGAGCCTCATGTGATTTTGCAGGTGTGCACGTGGCTGCCCATCTGGTAAACACCCTCAACTTCTCAGTGAACTTCAGCGAGGATTTTGCTGAACTGAACGCAGCGAGATACCGAGATGAGGTGGGTGGTCTCCTTTTGCTTGTCGTGAGCCCACTAATGAAGGTCTGTGATTTTCATGGAAAATTTGTACCTTGCTGCTCCTTTTGAGTGCTTTTAAAATGCAGTTGTCAAGTTGAGTTTTGTTCCTTTTCAATAGAAAATACAGGTAATTACTATTTCAGAGTGTCTCCTGCTGAAAATGGGAGTTCAAGAGTGTCTACTTTTTATATTCTGCAGCGTTCAAATGGGGGCCATTCAGGCCTGCCTCCTGCCTCCCAGCAGTGTTGTCTGGTTTCTATCCAGTGGAGACTGTCCACAGTGTCTTTATGGGCACAAGTTTGTTTTTGTTTTTTGTTTTTGTTTTTTTTTAATAAGTCAGATGCCGTTCTTGGAGGTGGTGAAGGGGAAGGGTAGAAAAGCAGGTTGACTCTTTGAGGATCTTGAATCGTCTGTTTATTTGACTTAAAAAACTTCACTGAGTTTTAGTGTTCCTCTGTTTTGTTTTGTTTTAATCCTTGATACAGGTGAACTTGAGCTGAGTCCTGTAGCATGTAATATCTGACTTAGGGTTGCTTTTCTCCAGGGGGCGGCACCCATGAGATGAAATTGTATGTTCAGGGTGCTGGGGTAGAGCCTAATGAACACGTGTTAGCTCTCCTTTGCTCAGGACTTATCCTGTCCTCAGTCTGCCTTTCCTTCACGCCAAGACTACATCAAAAACTGCTGGGAATGGAGCTGGATCTCCCTGCCCTTTCTGCCAGGTCTGGCAGGGACTTTGTAAGATTGTTCTCCATCCCCCCTAGTCTCTCTTCTTTTCCATGTGTCACCGGAGTTACCGAGATTAATACTGCTATGATTATGTGCTTGATATCCTTCCTGGAATAAAACAAAGAGAAAACTAACAATGAACACAGAAACAAATCACAAAACCAAAATCGCCAGCAGCCTTTCATAAGTCCTTTGATAAGACTCTAGTATTCTTAAAAACACCAATATGATGTAACTGGTCTGGGTTGGGGTCCGGCCTTGATATTTGTTAAAAGTTCACCAGTTAGTTGGGGTGAGCACCCAGCATTAAGAGCCACTGAGAAAACCAGCTCCTCCAGAAGCTCTTCATACGGAATGATTCCAGAACCCAGAACTGGAAACACCACCGTTTGTTTCTGTCTCCCACGGCTTCCCCCCATTCCTTTATCCCCCTCAGCCCACAGAACATGGACTTCTTTGTTTCCTATGTCTGCCATGGACCTGCCTCTTTATCTTTGCTTCTTTGCTTCTCTCTCTTTTGTTTTTGTCATTTTGGGTCTTTAAGAACTAAAATGGTTCTCTCATTTTAATGTTATATACTTGGAATATTGTAAAATATTCCAAAATTTTAATCATAGGTTTTTAGTTATTTTCTTTCATACTGTGAAGGATATGTACCCCAAATAAAATATCTTAAAACCCTCAAGCAAATGAAGTTTGAAAGTGAAAGCTTCTTCTCCAAAAGTAGCCACAGCTAATAACTTTCTGTTCTCTTATATTTTGAGGGGCATTTTATGAAACCTAGTCCTCAGCAGTTTTCTTGTTTCCATAATCACATGGACTGTAGCTTGCTGTATCAGAAAGTATAGATCTATCACTTTCTTCATCTTAATGTGCGATGGTTTATTTTTAGCCTTTTCCTTATTCACAGATGATTAGGTTGTTTTTGAGTGAACCACACTCCAATAAATTAATTTTTTATGTGCTTCCGCTAGGCAGATTCCTAGAAGTAGAATTTGCTTTCAAAACTATGTACATTTTTAGTTTTGAAGGACATTGCCTTGTTGCCTTTCAAAAAGGCTTCATTAGTTGACACACTTCTACCAAGTTTGTCAGAATGCTTGTATCTGCTTTTTTTGTTTTTCTTTAATTTTTGCCAGTCTGACAGATGAAAAATAGTAACTCATTATTTAAATTTTTATTTCCCCTTTCTTTGTTTCCTTCATTCTTTCTTTCTTTTTTTTTCCTCCCTCTTCTTTATTTTAATAAATGTTTTTGAGCCCTTAGTGGGCATCAGACAGTGTGCTAGAGGAGGATGAAAACACACGCATACACATACACACACACACGCACACACACACACACACACACTGCATGCATAAACAGGTACAGCCTTCCTTGAGTTGTCTTTGAGAAAGACTGATTTGTGCCATGCACCCTGTTGTCCTTTGCTTTGTGCTCTCTGTCTTCTCCAGATTTCTTTTTTTTTTTTTTTAAGATTTTATTTATTTATTTGACAGACAGAAATCACAAGTAGGCAGAGAGGCAGGCAGAGAGAGAGGAGGAAGCAGGCTCCCTGCTGAGCAGAGAGCCCGATGCGGGGCTCGATCCCAGGACTCTGGGATTCTGACCTGAGCTGAAGGTAGAGGCTTTAACCCACTGAGCCACCCAGGTGCCCCTGTCTTCTCCAGATTTCTAATGACCCAGCCTTCAGCTCCTGGGTGGCACGTTCTTGATGGCCTAGCTGAATCTGCCTCATGCTGTCATCTTTGAAACTGTCTCTTACTTTCACATTTCATCTCCACTCGCGGGCAGTAGTAACTGTTCTGTCTTCTGAGTTCCCATGGCTATTTGTTCTGGTATCCAGATTTCTGACACTACCACTTTGTTCAGCTCGTCTTGTATTTTCACTAGTTGTTTATATACTAGGTTCCTCTAGGTTACCCTTGAGCTGTGTCCTAATGGCAGAGGTAGAAGTCATCTGGCCCCAGTGGGATGAGGAGCTCTTACGAGGCAGGTGGCCCTTAGAAAGCCACCCTTTCTGAAGGTGGCTTCTGAAATTATTTCATATGAATGGCTTCCTACTTTGGATACAGGGTGGCCTGATTCCAGAGCAATGGAGGCCTAAGAAAGAATTTCCAAAGTTGTGCAATACTATGCACCATTAGGATGAAAAACAAATCTACAGATCTCCTGGGGATTGACCTCAGTTTTCCAGAGATAGAAAGGGAGTTGCCTAAGGTCCATTTCACTATGAAAGATGTAGTTTAAAGGACAGATTACACTAGCAATATTACTTTTTACAATTCTGAGTAATAGAAACCTATTCTCTGTATTTGAGTATCATCACTATTTTGCATGGTACTTGAAACATTGTAAGTATTCAGTTAGTATTCTTTGCACTGAATTTATAGTGACAACCCTCCCTGTATATTTTCTCACTTTTGATTCTCACTGTCTCAGCATCTTGTAGGGCAGAACATTATAGTCAAAGATACTGAGTTTCAAATGGTCAAAGGGTAGGCTTCAGGCCACTGTTAATAGCTTGTAATTACCCATTAAGATGAAAGTCTACATTTTCTGATTTTATTCAGCGCTCTTTGTATCTCAGAAGGACAGTCTTCTCTGTGTTGGATTTTTTTTTTTTTAAAGATTTTGTTTTTTTGAGAGAGAGTTTGTGCATGAGTAGGGGGAAGGCGGAGGGAGAGGGAGAAGCAGACTCCTCACTGAGTGAGGAACCCATTGTGGGACTGGACGTGGGGCTCAATCCCAGGACCCTGAGATCATAACGTGAGCTGAAGGCAGATGCTTAACCAACTGAGCCACTCAGGCACCCCTGGGGTAGATATTTTTAATTTTTCAGCTGAGAAACAATTAGGGAATTTCTGAAACTTGCTTGTAAGTGACAGAGGCAGGACTCCCTCCCCCAAATATTAAAAATATAGATATTTTTAATTTTTCAGCTGAGAAACAATTAGGGAATTTCTGAAACTTGCTTGTAAGTGACAGAGGCAGGACCTCCCCCCCCCCCAGCAAATATCCTGGTTCCAGAACCTGTGTTGCATGAAAACATTATGAAACCTGATTGAATTTCTCATATCCACTGAGAGAATAGTGTCTTAAATGCCTAATGGATCACATACCCAGAAGGTTCCTTGTAGAATTTTACATTGTCAATATTTTGTTTTTCAGTCAATTTTTTTTCCCTTTTTCTCAGGATCCTAGAAAACTTCTCTTCACAACTGGTAAGTTGTTTTTCATTGCTCTTTCTGAAGATTCAGGCAAATCTTTGAGAATAAGCATCATCGAACTACACAGCAATTCAATGTATGTTAAATATAATGTGGAAAATTTGCAACCAGAACAACTGTTACCAAACTTAAGTTGCAGTGAAAACAGAGGGGTAAGGCAAACAGTGGGGTTCGAATGAATGAAGAGTAAAAGGAAGTAAACACATTTGCCTTCCATATGTTCTTCCAATAACAACAGTGCAATGCCATGCGGTTATTGAGGACCTACTCTGTGCCCCTGGCTGTGGCAGGTGGTACTGAAGATAATACGCATGGAGTAGGCTCCTACCCTCAAGGTGCTGGAAGGAAACACCAAGCACTCTGATTATCGATGGAATTCTTATAACTCAGTAATTTAGTAGGACATTTGGTGATCTTATAACCTACATAAAAAGGAGGAATGAACAGTCATTAAAATCGGTTGTTTTTCTTGAAATGTGTTTCCTTTTTCAACTGTAATTTACTTTTCCTTCTCAAGCATATTGTCCATGAAATCTCAGTCTAGACTATTCATTTGTTAAAGCACATGTAAACATCTCAAAATTTTGTCCTGATGTTAGTATAATTTTACTAAAATTCTTCTTTTTCTCAACTCTGCATTTATAAGGACAAAAGCCAAAAACCTGCATTTGGGGGCTTTTTAGCACATTATTTCAGGGATAAGGATGATTAGGTTATTGATAGGGTCTGTCATATAGGCTTGGCTACCGTTAACACCCCGTTAAGGATCGGGATTGCATAGGAGACTGAGGCATGATCTGTCAAATGTATTGTTTTTCTTTTCAATCAGTTTTATGATAAAAAAAGCAATAATTCTGGTGTTTTCCCCTTCCCTGTCAGAACTGTATATTTAGATTTATAAAATACGGTTTTTTCCTGTTTATTTATGTATGACGTTTGCCACTTACAAGGTATTTCACGGTTTCTCTTTAGGAACACAATTTTAGTTTTGCTTACAACTTTGCTCATTGAAAGCATGTTTTTAATTTAAGCTTTAAGAATTGGATGAGAAATAGGAAGGAGAAAAAACAGAAAAACAAAACCTTATGTGTGAATCAATATATGTTTTGGGTCATATGAATTCATTTTACAGAAAGAATCAATTTTTTAATATTTTTAATATTTTTTATATTCTTTTTAAATATTTTCTTTTTAAATATTACCTTCTATAGCACCAAGTCTGGGTGAAACATTGGGACATGTAAAATGTTTGAAAACAAAGTTTAGTTTTCAAACATACAAAAAGATTTCTTATCTGACCAAGACATTACATTAAGAAGCTTCGTATAATGAATACTTGTACAGAAACATGTGACCTCTCCATATAGCATAAAAACCCACCATCCTTATGTTGTTCCCCAGACGTTCCCATGAATGGTGTTGGACTAACTAGAGATGATACTTAAAAAGACAAATTAAAAAAAAAAACAAAAACCCACAAATTTCCTGGCGCCATCCTAGAGAGTCTTTGTGGTGTGACCCAACAGTATGATTCATTAAGCTTCCCGTGTACCCTGGGAGTCCTCGTTTCACCCTTATTGGACATCCCATCATACTCTTGTAATTCCCTTCCTGGAACACCTCACTGTTGTCTGCTCTCTTACTTGATTCTCTCTCTCTCTCTTTTTAAACTCAGCCCACTTCTGCTCCTCCTTTGAGTCTCAGCAGACACGCCCCATCATGCGCACATTCATCCCTGATTCCAGTAGGCAGAGCCGGTCTGTTTTGTTGGCCTTCGTTCGTTCCTAAAGAGACATAGTAAAGTGCTATGTTGTGGAATAATTTCTTTCCTTACAGGTATAATCTTTTCCACTGGAAAGTAAGCTTCTCAGGTGTGAGGTACAGCTCTCTGTAGGGCATGCAGGATCCCAGGTACATATTTTTTGGTGGAGTTTTTTTCGATACAAACAATTGGAATTCATCCCAAATCAGCATGTCAGCCTCATTTCAGTGTCTTAGTCTACATCATTTCATGAAAGATGTGTGCTAGCCAGAGGGAGCCATCCACTTCTCAGCTTGAAACCCAGCCTGGAACCCCTAACTATGAGTCTAGACCTTTGAGGGCATCTGATTGACCCTACCGAGTAGTAGGTGAGAGAACAAAGCAGAATCAAAGGATGTCAAGGGATAAGAGACCATTTTCTACAAATAGACTTGATCTAGTTTTATATTACTAATACATCTATGACTAATACTGTTTCATAGCTATCTTTGAACATCATTAGGCCTAGGAAAAACCACATTTCTGACAGAGGAATGCATGCATGTTTTTAGATGTTCTAATGATAATGACTTTTTTATTAGTTAATATGTTTCTTGGATTTTCGTTTGTTTAATGTTACATTAAATATCTCTGTCCTTAAATATTTTTCAACATAATCTACAACTGAGAAATTAAGGTTGTTTCAGAGAAACTAAAGCCTGTGGCAGTTCAAGTGACATAAAATATGGTTGTTAGGTCACTCAATAAGAAATGTTAAAAACAGTCCAATTAAGAATTTATAAAATAAAAAAAAGAATTTATAAAGTAAAACAAATTTAAAAGACTGGATTGTTCAGATATGCATTTCAAAACATTTGCTACATTATTTCCAAATTTGGTAGAAGCTTGTATGATGAGAAGAAAATGCACAGTATCCAATTTCAATTAGAAAAACCCTCATAAACAAATAATATTGTGTTTCTAGTTACATTAGAAACAACAGGATAATGAGTACAAGATGGTATATTTCTGACCACATCTGGGTATGGATGAAAATGATCTCTCAGTTTCATCTAGAAATGGCAGTACACTGTAGTCATTCATTTTAAAGGCAACTAAATTACAAATGTAATATGCATAGATAAAAAGTAATAAAAATAAACATATAAACATGTCTTTTCTAAGGAAACAAGTATAGTTTTTGCTTCATAATTTGAATGATTCAAAGAGAGAGTGTACTTCATTTTGGCAAGTGACTTTGCCCAGTAAGTTTTGACTAACTTAGTTATTTCCAACCTGTTCTTCCTGACTCCTGAAATGTATGTAGTAATAGAGGCTATTATATTGGGTCTTAGCTGAGCTGTCCTTGAAAGCTAGGTTAGGGTGCCTTTTGATGTACCTGGAAAACACTCAAGCTTAGCTCTCTTTTAGCACTTAATGTCCTAGGTTGCATTTGTCTACTTATCCTGTCTCCCACACTGGACGGGGATTTCTTTTAGAGCAGGATTCTTTTTTTTTTTTTTTTTTTCCCCTCACTTAACAGTAGACCAGAAATGTCCAGAAAATATTCACTGAAAATAAAAGCCAATTGTTTAACTCTCCTACTTGATACATAGATCTCCTTTACAGCATCCAGATAATCAGTTAGCTAGCCTCTGTTTGTTTAATTCCAGTGACAGAAAATCATAGCTTCTTAAAGTACTCCTTTTTTTGGTGGGGGGGGGGACCATTGTAATTGTAATAATTTTTTTAAAGATTTTATTTACTTATTTAAGAGAGAGTGTGAGCAGGGGCAGGGGTAGAGAGAGAAGTAGACTCCCCACTGAGTGCAAAGCCTGTCATGGGGCTTAATCTCCTGACCTTGAGACCATGAACTGAGTTGAAAGCAAGAGTTGGATGATTAACTGACTGAGCCACCCAGGCACCCCTAATTTGTTCTCTTCATTTTTAATTTTAAGTAACTTATCTTCATTGATCCGGTCTGTTACTTTGTAAATTACAAACTTTGGTCTTTTTATACGTCTGGGAGCTAGAAAGGAAACATGAATCCTTTAGATAAAAAAGATAACTTCATAAATCTGAAAGAATATTAAAAAGCATGGAATTGATTCTCCTAAGTTTACAGATGAGATCTAGTGAGATTGGGGTTTGTCCTAAGGGACAGTAATAGGACTATTTAATCCCAGAATGGGTATCTCATTGGCTAAGCTGTCTGCTTCATCTTCAAATGACTGATGCCAACTATTTTATTACCCAACCCCCAGATCTTTCCAATACATTTTCCATGTTCTGCTCTTAAAAGCATTTCTCTAGTTAAATGTTTGAGGAAAGATCCATTCAAATTTAAACTGGTTTCTTGATACTAGTACTTGCCAGAGACTTTAATTTACTAATGTGTCCTGTGACTCTTCAAGGAATAGTTATTACACTTTTGAGTAACAGAAATTAATATCTCTAGAAACTAATATTCAAATAATATACTTTAAAAATTATGCTTCTACACTATTTAACATGCTGTTTTTCCAGGTGTCCTCATGAAATGATTTGTAGACATTCCATAACTAATCTTGGCATATTTAGAACCACATGGGAAACCTTATGGGCAGACCCAGTAGACCTTAATGAAGCCCCAAGACAGTTAGTGGAAAAGCCTCTCCAGCCACACATTTCACATCTTGGAGCCATCTGGGATTCTATCATTTATTTATTCATTTGGCCAAATAAGGGTGTTTTGTTTTAATTACTTAAAGCCAGAGAGAAAGACCTCCTCTTTTTTTTCTTCTTTAAATGTATTGAGTTATAATTGAGGTACATGAAATTATTCATATGTAAATTATGATATTCAGTTGGTTTTGGCATATGTATACACTTAATGAAATCAAGACCAAAATCAAGATGACAAATATATCTATCATTCCAAAAAGTTTTTTGTGCCTTTATAATGCATTCTGCCCTTTACTCCTCTTAGTAACTAATCTGCTCCCTATCACTGGAGAATAGTTTGGATATTCTAGAATACTATATAAAAGGTATCACAGAGTTTATACTCTTGGGATTTTTTTGAGGGGGAGAGTGTCTGGCTTTTTTCACTCAGTGGAATAATTTTGTGGTTCATGCATGTCGTGTACAGTTTATTTTTTTAGCTGCTGATTCATTTTCCAGGTACAGATATTACCACAATTGTCTATCCATTCACTTGCTGATGGAAATTTGGGTTGTCTACAAGCCTTAACTGTTAAAAGTAAAGTGGCTA